AGGTGTTTTCTTAGTACAGAAACTTCTATTAATAATCTTGTAACTTGTCGTAGTTACTGACTAGAGAAGAAGCATTTCAATGCTGCCCACAAACAGGTGGAATGAAGAAATTGCTTGTGTGGTGACACTGTAATTGGGGAAAACTGGAAGCCTGTTTATAAGCAGGGGAGCTTCTGTACTTGATAAAATATTATGTTTTCTACAGTCACTCATTAAGCCATCTGGTAATGTTTCAGAATTCTTGGACATAATTTTGTAGTTGTCAAAAGATTACCGTACTTACAGATTTAGATTGAAATAAACCTTCTTTAAGCCTTACATGTCTGATTTCATCTTACCCACAGATCATTTTGTGTTCCTCAGCACACACTTGGTGTTTGGAAGTCTACATTTTTCCCTTAGTGTTTCTTTTGTTTACCTTTTCTCTCCAGTAGAACCTTGAACATTAGAGAAGGATTTCTGTTTCTTGAGTGTTACTCCACATCACATACAGCTGTCTCAAACATGCAGCAGATAGTTTAGTTGTTGGGTAAACTAACGAAACTTCTCTCCCTTCTTCCTTGACTTTAGGCATCATAGGCGAGTTTTAGTGGAATGGCTGAAAGATCCATCTCAGGAGCTTGAGTTTATTGCTGATATTCTTAATCAGGATGCAAAGAATTACCATGCCTGGCAGCATCGACAGTGGGTTATTCAGGTATTGCCTTCTTGTTATACAGCATTTTCAGATTTTTATTTTTGAACTGAATAAAATAGTTAAAATTACTGTCAAATTCTAAGCATACAGATAAAATGACTAAGAATTACCAAGATAATTAAACCTTGGTCTCTTTCATGTTGGTTAGCCTTTATAATCTCTGTATATGATAGAGTAGAAAAATAGTTAAATTTTTTACAGATTTTAGGTTGAACTTGTATCATATATTTGCTAGGGAATGAGTAGAAAAAGCAGTTATACATTTTTAATACAACTGTATTAATTTAATAAGAGCATATTACATATTAAAGCTTTTGGATATATAGACTTTGGAGTGTGATTATACAGTGACTATTGTGTATTTTATTTCCACCCACATGTTAAAATTTTATGCTAAAATCTGAATAGAAGAGAACAGTTATAACTCCCACTCTGGACATTCTATTTATTCTAGCAAACAATTCTAGTGTTGTTTCCTATACATTTTTTTCTAGTGGTTGCTACTTTCTGCACTATTATACCAAGAGCATTTCACCAAAAATTGTGTTCCTTAAAATTTTAAACTTTTCCATATTTGATTAAAGAGAGATGTTTTTTTTAAAGGTATTCAGTTGTTTTACTTTTTATGAAAAATTAGATCGTATATAATACATTGTTGTAGTTAGTTGCCATTGAGTTGATTCTAACTCATGGTGACCCCTCATGTATGTCACAGTAAAACTGAGCTTCATAGGGTTTTCAAGGCTGGCATTTCAGAATTCTGTCACCAGGCCTGTTTTCCCAGTTGCCTCTGGATGGGTTTGAACTGATAATCACTTAACTGTTTATACCATCCAACCAACCTATTCTGGTTACCTAGTGTTGCTCTGACAAGAATATACCACAAATGGGATGGCCTTAACAAACAGGAGTTTATTCTTTCATAGTTCGGGAGGCTAGAAGGTCTAGTTCAAAGTGCCAGGCTCTAGGGGCTGTGTGAAAGCCCCTCACCTTTTGGGGTTTAGCTCTGCCTCTTGCTCCTGGCCCACTAAAGCTAGAGGCATCTCTTCCCTGAGGCAGCTAGTGGCTCCTAAGGCTAATAAGTCCAAGGTTGACAAATAAAATGGCTCAGTCCCGATGTTATCAAACCACACACAGGCCATTGATTAAAGTCCATTGAAAGTCCCAAAGTCGGGCAGAGTATGGCAGGCTGCTGAACAACAACTTGGCTACATGCAGGGTTCAAGCATGCCGTAAGCTAGAGACCATCCCTACAGCTGTTTCTTATATATGGGAAGCAGACCACATACCCAAAGGCAGCTACTCAGCTGCTCACAGTAGATTCCACTATGGAGTTGATAACCAGTCTTATCGTAGTTACATTCAGCTGCCCAGCCACTCAACCAGGCCCAGCCAAGCTGACATACAAACTTAACCACCACACAACCCCACTGCCATCAAGCCCATTCTGACTCATAGTGACCCTACAGGACAGAGTAGAACTGCCTCATAGGGTTTACAAGGCTGTACATCTTTATGAAAGCAGACTGCCTTACCATTCTTCCACAGGTTCAAGCTGCTGACATTTTGGTTAGCAGCTGAAGGCTTTAACCAACATACCACCACAGCTCTTTACACCCTCCAGGGACCTACATAATACATATGTACGTGTGTGTGTGTGTATGTGTCTATAAAAATGTAGACACACACACATATATATAGACAACACACACATCCACACATATACACACACAGTAAGCTCTGGTGGCACAGTTAAGGCATTTGGCTGCTAACCAGAAGGTCGGGAGTTCAAACACATCAGCTGCTCCACAGGAGGAAGATGAGGCAATTTACTTCCATAAAGATGTACAGCCTTGGAAACCCTATAGCAATTACTGTGAGTCTGAATCAACTTGATGGCAGTGGGTTTGGTTTGATTAATACACACAGACACACACATACAAAATATGTACCTACCATAACACCTTAAAAAATAGAACATTACCAATACCTTTGAAAATTCCTCTCCCTGTCAGTATTTTCCTTCCTGAAACTATCGTAAAAGGTTGCCATGAGAAAGGATTCCAAAAATGTCAATTATGTTGTAGCTTATGACTTTCAGTAAATGAGGGACACAGATTTGAAGGCAGGCGGTTCAAACCTACCAGCCACTCCTTGGAAGGAAGATGGAACAATCTACTTCTGTAGTGATACTGCCTCAGAAACCTAGGGAGGGGTCATTGTGAGTCGGGTCCAACTCGATGGCACATAACAACAACATTTTCATATTTGATACTTTGTAGTTTCATATATTCCAACATAAATTGTTTTTTAAAAGATAAAACTAACTTCAGCTACCGTGAGGAGCAAATGAAGTCTGAAAACTGAAGTGAATTTACAATTTTTATTATGTACATAATGAAATAACTTGCCACAGTGTTAAAAGTGGGAAATACATAGATTCTTCACTTCATGTAAGCCAGTGATTCTCAGAGGTAATTGTGCCCCACAAGGGACATTTGGCATGTCAGGAGGCATTTTTAGCTGTCACAACTAGGGGCAGAATGCTACTGGCATCTAGTGAGAAGGGGCCAAGGATGCTACTAAATATCATAAAGTGTACAGGATAGCCCCCCACAACCAAGAATTATTCTGCCAAAAATCTGTCGTACAAAGACTGAGGAAAGCTGGTATTAGTGAAACCTATGCCTGTAATCCATATGGCAAACAAGTTTTTAATATTTCAGTTATTTTCAGTGAGGATTTAATGAATACAGTGTATTCTAAATCTTAAGTGAGAATATGGGAAGTGCTTACAATGTGTTTGGGAACATACATGTAATAAATGTGAGAGAATTTTAGTTTCAAACTTAAATTTGAAACATTTTTGAATACCTGACCTGTATGTTCTTTGGCACTGACACTTAAAGGCAATGGTACTGGTGTTTATCAAGTAAAGGAGTGAAGGGCCCTTTAATTTTTTTTCCCCCAGTCCACCATGAATTGGATAAGTTTCATTAATGTAAAATGCAATAAAATGAATTACTTTGTTAACATTTTATAGTGATTTGGGTGAAAGTTCATAGAGCATATTAATTTTCCAGTCAACAATTCATATATATTTTGATTCATAACATTGATTGCAATCCTTATAGTGTAAACAGCACCCTTTGCACTTCCTCCCTGTTTTTACCATTTCCATCCATCTTTCTTTCCTGTCCTTTCCTGCCTTCTGAGCTTTATCCTTGGGCAAATGATGTCCTTTTGATCAATATGGTTGATTTTGTAAGGAGTGCATGCCTACCTGGTGATGCTATTAACCTTATAGGCCTGCCTGTTGTTTGGCTGGAAGTTGAGCCACAGGGTACCTAAAGGTCAGAGTTTCAGGGGTTCTACCTGTCTCTGTCAGACCACTAAGCCTGGTGTTTTTATGATTTTTAGTTTTCTTCCACATTTTTCTCCTACTCTATTCAGGACCTCCTATTATGACCCCTTTCAGAGCAGTCAGCCTTGGTAGCTGGGAACTATCTAATTCTTCTGGTGTCAGGGTTGTGGAGGCTGGGGTTTCCATGGCTCATTAGCCCTTTGGATAGATTATTTCCTTATGTCTTTGATTTTCTTTACTCTTTGCTCAGAATGGGGAGAGACCAGTAGTTGTACCTCAGATGGCCACTCACAAGCTTGTAAGACCCCAGTCGCTGCTCACCAAAGTAGGCTGTAGAACATTGTCTTTGTGGACTGTCTTATGCTAAATGAATTTGATGTCCCTCCAGACTATGGTCCTGAGCCCATAAACCAAGCAGGTCATTCCCTCAAGGTGTTTGGTCATGGTTAAGCAGTTTTTATAACTTTGCCTCCTGTATATGCTACTACATTCAGGGATATATTTGCAGCATGTATAAATACATATATAGAAATATCCTCTGTCAAACCTACTACATATATTTATGGGCATAGTCCCATTTGTCTCCCTACTTCCTGTTCAGCTGGGTATTTATCTGTGTATCCATTCATAGATGATTGTTATTACTGTCATTGCCAGATTGTATTATGTTGTTGTTGTTGTTGTTATGTGCCGTCAAGTCAGACCTGATTCATAGCGACCCCTCCTTGGGTTTCCAAGGTGGTATCACTACGGAAGTAGATTGCCCAACCTTCCTTCCGAGGAGTGGCTGGTGGGTTTGAACCGCCAGCCTTCTGGTTAGCAGTCAAGTGCCTTAGGCACTATGCTACCAGAGCTCCTACCAGATTACGTATGTAATAGTATTAACTTTTGTTACTTTCCACTCTGTGCTCCTCCAGGTTCTGCCTTTACCTTGAACATTTTGTGCTCACCTCGTCTTTATTATATATTGCCTTTCCTTTCACCCAAGTTAATTTTTGTCTACCCTATAGTTAGTGATTTACCTTCCTTTCCCCTTCCACCCTTGATAATCTTTAAAGAATGTTTCTTCTGTGATTAAACTTTTTCTTAACTTTTTATAGTAGTGGTCTTGTACAATATTTATTCTTTTGTGATTCATTAATGTAACTCAGCACAGTGTTCTCCAGGTTCATCCATGTTGTGAGGTGTTCCACAGATTTGTTGTTATTCTTTAACATTGTGTAATACTCTATTGTGTGTAAGTACATAATTTGTTTATCCATTCATCTGTTGATGGGCACATAGGTTGTTTCCATCTTCTTGCTGTTATGAGTAATGCTGCAATGAACATGGGTATGCATTTATCTGTTCATGTCATGGCTCTTATTTCTTTAGGATATATACCTAGTAGTGAGATTGCTGGATCATATGGTATTTAAGGAAGTGCCCTACTGTTTTCTACAGTGATTGCACCTAAAATGAATTACTGAAAAATTAAATAAACACACACACACAACACTCTACTACTTAGCAATCAGATGGAACAAACTGTTGATGAATACAACAACTTGGATGGCTCAATGGTGTTATAAAAGGCCAGTCTCAAAAGTTTTCCAACTATATGATTCCATTTATATAACATTCTAGAAATGTCAAAATTAGAGAGATGGGAAACAGGTTAGTGGTCACCAGGGATTAGAGGATGAGTGGTAAACTATAAAGGAGTAGTATGAGACAGTTTCTTTTTAGGAATGAAATAGTTCTATAGCTGATTGTGTGATGGTTATATGAATTTGTACATGGAGTAAAATATAAAAGTATGTGTTCCCTACTTTCTTATTAAAACTCTTTTTTATTAAAATAGCTTTGTAATAGAAAATCTTATATCCCAAATTCAGTTGTTTATATATATTTCTCCATGTATATTTTGGTATGCTTTTTTATATGTGCATTTTTTAATGCTACCTTTTCATACTGTATGTGCTTTGTGTTTCTCCACTATCTTCACATAATACTTGAAGGCTACAAGTATTGTCACATCAGATTAATATACTATATTGTAGTTTATCATGAGTTTGAGTGGTTTTTTTTTCCCCGTCTTAAATTTTGAACATAAACTTTTTTTTTTTGAGCTAGTTGTTTGGGAGCTCTGGTAGCACAGTGGCTAAGGCACTTGACTGCTAACCAGAAGGCTGGCGGTTCAAACCCATCAGCCACTCCTCGGAAGGAAGATGGGGCAATCTACTTCTGTAGTGATACTGCCTCGGAAACCCAAGGAGGGGTCGCTATGAGTTGGGTCCGACTCAACGGCACATAACAACAACAAGTTGTTTGGAATAATTCTTCAGTCAAATAGGATAAACATGCTTCTTGGTATAAATTGTTTTCCCAGAATATTATACTTAATTACAGACCACTTTGCTGCTAATGTAGGGGCCTTGGTGGTGCAATGATTAAGAGCTCAGCTGCTAATGCAGAAGGTCAGCAATTTGAACTCACCAGTGGCTCCACAGAAGAAAGATTTGGGAGTCTGCTTCTGTAAAGATTTATAGGCTTGGTACCACTACCACCCATGCTTCTGCGACAACAATTGAAGGACTCAGATTGGGTGAAAATGTAGAATAAAACTCAAAAAAGGCCAGAATTATTGCTGTGAAAGAGACTAGAAGAACCCCCCAAGTATTTTGCCCTAAGACAACCTTCTAACTTGAAACTCAAGACACTTCCTGAGGCTACTTCTCAACCAGATAATAGGCCTATAAAATAAACAATAACACCCCTGAAGAACTAGCTTCTTAGAGCAATCAACTATATGTGACCAAAAGGGCAAGATTTGCCCAGAACCAAAGATGAGAAGGTAGCAGACAGGGAAACTGTGTGAATGAAAACAGGGAATCCAGGGAGGAAATAAGGAGAGTGCTGAACATTGCAAGGATTGCAGCCAATGTCACAGTAAAAATTGTGTATGAAATATCGATAGGAAAACTAATTTGGCTATATGAAGCTTTTTTTGTTTTTGCTTAAGCACAACGAAATTTTCAAATAAATAAAGCAATACATCAGGATAAAATAGTTGGGGATTTACAGCCTTGGAAACCCCATAGGGCAGTTCTGCTCTGTGTTACAGAGCCACTGAGTCAGAATCAACTTCAGTGGCAACAGGTTTTTATTTCTTGTTTTTTGCTGCTCTCTCCCTTTCTGGATTGGGTTTGATTTATTCTCCCTCATGACCCTTCCCTTGTAGTCTTTGATGTCTTCTTTCCTGCTCTCTCTGTGTCTTGCCAGGCACCCTCAGTTTCATACTCGTCTCCCTCTATTTCTTTGACTTGCACCTGTCAGTCTCTCCAAATATGGGATAAATCTTACATCTTCAGTTCTGCCTTCTTAATTTTACAAGTTTTATTTCTTTGTTTACTTGCTTACTGTTTATAAATAATAGGACATTTCCAATTGGATGTTTTATTTTTTTTATTTTAGGAATTTAAACTTTGGGATAATGAACTGCAGTATGTAGACCAACTTCTCAAAGAAGACGTGAGAAATAACTCTGTCTGGAACCAAAGATACTTTGTAATTTCTAACACCACTGGCTACAATGATCCTGTTGTATTGGAGAGAGAAGTCCAGTTAGTAACCTCCTTTATTTGCTCATTCATTAAAAATATATTGCCTGCCTTCATGTCTCAGGCATTGGGAATATAGCAAAGGTCAAGAATGACCCAGATTCTATCCTCATCAAACAGAATAGAATACTGAGATGAAACATTTTATAATAAGTTTACAAGTAATATAATTTACTCTTCATTGCTTTTAATTTCTTGAAGTATTGTTGATGTTAGAGATCGAGAAGAAATCAGATTTCACAGTGTCTAAGAACTTTTATTTTAAAACTCTCTCTTTAAATTCTGTTAGATTTTAAATAATAATCCCTAAAATGCCATGTTCCTCTAGTGCAGGATTTGGGGCTGGGTAATTCTTTGATATTTAGCAGATCTCTGACCTTTACATACTTTATGTCAGTAGTATCACCCCAGTTGAGATGACCAAAAATGTCTCCAGACATTGCAAAATCACCCGCAGTTGAGAACCGCTACTCTAGTGTACAAGATGTTGTAAGAGCTAGACATTTCTCAATTGGCATGAACTTCTGTATTATATCCATAATAGCTCCTCCTTTTCTGATTTTATCTATTTTGTCTCAGCATCAAATTACCTATTGTGGTCATTAAGGTTATGGTCAACTTGGCTGGGCCTAGTTTTGAGTGGCTGGGCAGCTGGATGTAGTTATTCCCATAATGAGACTAGTAATGAATTCCATGGTGGAATCTGCTGGAGCAGCTGAGTAGCTGGCTGCTTTAGTAATGTGGTCTGTTCCCAGTGTGTAAGGGGAAGCTTTAGGGGTAGTCTTGAGCTTTTTGGCATGCTTGAACCCTCCATTTGGCTGAGTCTTCATCTCTGTGACCTGATATGTTGCCAACTGATCTTGGGACTGTTGATGGACTTGAACCAGTGTCCTGCTGTGTTGTTTAATAATTTTGGGACTGTGCCATTTTAATTTGTTGACCATGGGTTTGTCAGCCTCAGCAGCCAGCAGTTGTCTGACATAAAAGAAGCCTCTAGCTAAAGTGGGCCCGGGGAAAAAGGCAGAGCTGAAGCCCAAGGTCGAGGGGCTTTCACCCAGTCCCTAGAGCTGGCACTTTGAACTCAAATTTCTAGCCTCCTGAATTGTAAGAGAATAAATAGACTCCTATTTGTTCAAGCCATTGATTTGTGTTAGGTCTGTTACAGCAGCACTGGAGGACCAAAACATGTGAACTGATGGACTGGTTTACAATTTGAATATGTGTTTTGTCTTTAAAGCTTGATTAGACTGATTTTACCTATTTATGAAAGTTGTTTTTAACAATTCCTGAGGTGAGCTGATTTTTTGGGGGGGGTGGGGCATCAGCTGCCTTTTGTCTCCCTTACCTTCACTTATGCTTAGATCAAGCAACTCTCCTTTTATCTTTTCATGTATTCTCCATAGGGTTCTGGTGATTTAAATTTTAAATAAAAGTCTACATTAACTCTGCTCCAGGCTCATGTCTGGAGCAGAAGCATACTTCTCAACCGTACCTTTATGCTTTCTGTCTACCATGTTACTGGCTAAAGCTGCACTATCCAATAAAATAGCCACTAGCCACATAAGAGTATTGAAACTGAAGTTATATAAAACTAAAAATTCATTCCCCAGTTGCATTATTCACATTTTAGGTGCTCAGTAACCACATGTACCGAATTAGACACAGATACAGAACACTTCATCATCATAGGAAGGTCTAGAGGATAATGTTGATCTAAAGGATCAGTGTGACAATTTATTGAAATTAGCTATCATTCTTAATCAAACCTAAATACTGAGACTTAAGTAGAGAAAATCCAGACTCAGTCATCCAGTACTCCATTATTTGGGATTCTTTTTTTTTTTTTTCCCTTAGAATTGGTGTTTTGTTATAAAGATTTAGAGAAAAAAAAAAAAGTACTCTGAAGTAAAGCAAAACATTTTTCTTTTTTTTTTTTTTTTTTTACCCCCAAACCCAGAACCTGCCTGGAAAGGAGAATGTAAGGGCTGCCCCAGTATCTCAGTCCCTCTTAATACCAAAGCAAATTTTACAAATAAGATAAGGGTGAAAAACATTGTTCTTTAGAAAGCTCAATAGCTTTCTTGCCAAAAGGTAAATGAAAAAAAACTCACTGCCATCGAGTCGGATTCGACTGATAGCGACTCCTCCTTCGGTTTCCAAGGCAGTATCACTGTGGAAGTAGATTGTCCAACTTTCCTTCTGAGGAGTGGCTGGTGGGTTTGAACTGCCAGCCTTCTGGTTAGTAATCAAATGCCTTAGGCACTGTATACCACCAGAGCTCCCAAATGGTAGATACTTAAGGTTATTTTACCTTAGGAGTGACAACGGAGTTCTGGTAGCACAGTGCCTAAGGCATTTGACTGCTAACCAGAGTATGGCGACTCAAACCTACCAGCTGCTCCATGGAAGGAAGATGGTACAATCTACTTCCATAAAGACTGGGAGCTCTGGTAGCATAGTGCCTGAAGCACCTGACTGCTAACCAGAAGGCTGGTGGTTCATATCCACCAGCTGCTCCTTGGAAACAAGGTTGGGCAATCTACTTCCGTAGTGATACCACCTCAGAAACCTAAGGAGGGGTCACTATGAGTTGGGTCCGACTAGATGGCACATAACAAAAAACAACAGGAGTGACAAAATATTAGAAAATGAGGTATTATTCACGTACCATGCAATTCACCTATTCAGAGTGTTTTTAGTGTATCCACAGATAGGTTCAACCATTACCACAGTCAATTTTATAACATTTTCCTCTCAGAAAGAAACCCCATACCCTTAAGCTATTACTTTCTTGTTCTATTCTTGTCTTTCCCTTCGGCCCTCAACAACCATTAATTTACTTCCTGCCTCATAATTTCTCTAATCTGCACTTTCACATGAGTGGAATTATATAGTACGTTATCTTTTGTGACTAGCTCCTTTCATTTAGCATAATGTTTTCAAAGATCATCCATGTTGTAGTATGTATCATCATTTTATTCCCCAAAAATTATGTTTTGTTGTTATTGCATATATACACAGCGGAACATAACCAGTGCAACTATTTCTACATGTATACTTGGGTGACATTGATTCATTCTTTTTTATGACTGAATAATAATAAATTGAATGTCAGTAACACACTTTGAGGGAGCTCTGGTAGCATAGTGCCTAAGTCACTTGACTGCTAACCAGAAGGCTGGTGGTTCAAACCCACCAGCCACTCCTCGGGCAATCTACTTACATAGTGATACTGCCTCAGCAACCCAAGGAGGGGTCACTGTGAGTCAGGTCTGACTCGACAGCACATAACACCACCACCACCACCACACTTTGATGCATTCCTCACTTGATGGACATTGGAGTTGTTTCTGTCTTTTGGCTGTTATAAATAATTCTGTAAGCATTCATGTATAAATTTTTGTGTGGATATATCTTTTCATTTCTTTTGGATATTTACCTATGACTGGAATTTCTAGGTCAGGTAGTAACTTTAACTTTTTGAGGAATTGCCAGTGTACCAAAGCACTCTACATTCCCGCCAGCAATGCATAAGGGTTCCTACTTCTCCACATCCTTGCCAATATTTACTGGTATCTAACTTTTTTATTTTAGCTATTCGACTGAGTGTGTAATGATAGCTTATTGTGGTTTTGATTTGCATATCCCTGAGACTGATGGTGTGTTGGAGAAATGCAAATCATGTGCTTTTTGGTTATTTATATCTTCTTTGAGGAAATGTCTATTCAGATCCTTTTTAAACTAGGTTTTTTTATTATTGGTTGTAAATGTACTTCATATAGCCTACATATAAGTCTGTTGTCAGATATATAATTTACAAATATTTTCTACTATTTTGTGGATTGTATTTTCTTCTTCTTGATGGCATCCTCTGAAGGACAAAAGTTTTTCATTTTATTAAAGTCCAATTTATCTACTTTTGCAGTTCATGCTTTTGGTGTCATATCTAATACTTTAGTCAAATCCTAGATTATGAAGATCACTCTAAAGTTTTCTTCTACACGTTTTCTCATTTTGTTCATACAGTTAGGTCTTTGATCCATTTTGAGTTAATTTCATATATACTGTTGAGACAAGGCTCCAACTTCTTTATTTTGCATGTGGATATCTAGTTGTATCAATACCATTTGTTAAAAAGACTCTTCTTTCCTTACTGAATGGTATTGTTGAAAATCAATTGACCATAGATGTATGGGTTTATTTCTAGACTCTCAATTCTATTCCATTGATCTATATGTCTGTCTTTGTGGCAAGATCACAGTTTTGATTATTTACTTTGTAAGAAGTTGAAATAAAGAAATGTGAGGATTCCTTCATGATTCATCTTTTTCAGCGTTAAGGCTATTGTGGATCCCTTGTAGTTCATAGGAATTTTAGAATCAGCTTGTCAATTTCTACAAAGAAGTCAGCACTGGGATTCTGATAGGGATTGCCTTGAATTTGTAGGTCAATTTGAGGGAATTATTGTGGTCTTATTAATAATGTTAAATTTCTGGTCCATGAACATGTGATATTTTTCCATTTATTTGCATCTTCTTTAATTTCCTGCTGCAGTATTTTGTAATTTTCAGAGTATAGCTTTTTAATTTCATTTCCAGATTGTTCATTATGAGTGTATAGGAATCCAGTTCATTTTTGTATATTACTCTTGTATCCTACAACCTTGCTAAAGCTTATTTATTAATTAGTGTATTCTTTAGAATTTTCTATATACAGGATTGTGTCATCTGCAAATATATTTTTACTTCTTTTTTTCCAAACTGGATGCCTTGTTTGTTTGTTTTTCCCCTTCCTAATTGCAGCTGCAGGGATCCAGGTGAGGAGAGGGAACCCAGACCACGCCCCACAAGAGGCAAGGTGGGAAAGTGGGGAAAGGATAGAAAAAGGCGAGGGGGACCGAGGCAGAGTAAGGACTCAGCCACAGGGATCCAGGTGAGGGGAGGGAACCCAGGCCATGCCCCACAAGCGGCAAGGCGGGAAAGCTGGGGGTGGGGACAGAAAAA